ACATAGGATACAAACGAATGTATAAAATACAACAATAATACATCGGTGCTCTTTATTATATTAAGTTTTTAAAAGAAGAAAACTTTGCAGGTACATTTTTCTGCACTAATAATGAAGCTCAATATACACTATTCAAAGCAAGTACTAGTCTACTTTAATTTCTTCCTCAAATTATTATATATAATAAGATTGCCTATTAACATTAGATATACAAAGGAATATTACTCTACCATAAGGAAAATTAAAACTATATCATTTTCAGGAAAATAAATAAAACTGGAGGGGCTGCGAAGCTGGCTCAGTGGTAGAGTGCTAACCTTGCATGCACGAACACCACATAAACAGAAAAAAAAGCCGGAAGTGGCATGTGGCTCAAGTGGTAGAGCACTAAGCTTGAGCTGAAGAGCTGAGAGCCAGCGCCCAGACCTAGAGTTCAGGCCCCATGACTGACAAAATAAATAAATAAATAAATAAACAAATAAACAAATAAATAAAACTGAAATAATCAGGTTGACTGCTGTGAATCAAAATCAAAATGGCAAATACAGTATGGTCTTACTCATGTGTGGAGTGGACACATAAATGATGATGATAATGATAGTATTTAGCAGACAACATAAAAGTAAATGCAGGACCTTTTAAGAGGGGATTGGCAAAAGGAGGAAGAGAGAAAGGACAGACTACTGTGGAGCACAGAAGATAAAAGGACATTGAACACACACATCAATGACAGTGTCATGATTAAATGAACCAAATGCTACTTGAGAAAGGAGACCTTGGAGGGGAGTGAGAATAGAGTGGAAAAGGAAAATATGTTCCAAGTGCACAATGTGTATAGATGCAAATATCACAATCAAAGTCTTCATATTACAAAGAATTGGTAACTCAAAAATAAAATTCTACAAAAGAGCACAACAGATGCTAACCAGGTTATAAGGGGAAAGAAAACATGATATGGGAGCAATGCAAACCAGTGCAGCTCCTATGGAAATCAACATGGAAGATTTTCAAAAACTAGACATGGAGCTAGTGAATGACTTAATATCACTGTTGGTCACATTTCTGAAGTAATGTAATTGCACACTCAGACGTTTAATGCAGCATTATTTGATAAAAGCCAAGTTATGAAGTCAGTTTAGATGACCTTTGACTTTTCAATGAGTGAGAAAAATAAATAGATGTATCCATATATAAATATATATACACATATATACCTATAAAAGAAAAGGAATAGAGATTTATGCATGTATATATTAGAATATTTTACAGAAGTAAGAATGTTATATCATTTGCAAAAAAAACTGGGTAGAAATTGGAGATTAGTGTGTTAAACACAGTAAATCAGGTCCTGAAGGACAAAGGTCACAAGTTTCCGCTCACATGCAGAGTACACAGAGAGTATATCTATATCTATATCTATCTATCTATCTATCTATCTATCTATCTATCTATCTATCTATCCAGTGTAATTATGTGTATTGTATTATATCTGTATACATAATACCATAAATATTGTGGATATATCTATAACTACATATGCTACTCTCTGCCTTTGCATATATATATCACTGTTTTATCACTATATATGTATATGTGTAGGCTTATATAATCAATATGCATAAGTGTATATATATATAAAGTGATGTAATTGTTGGACGGTCTCAGGGAAAGGAGATTAAAGTGACAGAATGATTTAGTATAAACAATACCAAAATACATTTCCGATGTTTGAAGATGGAACATTGAACCTACTGAAAGCTTTCCACATGCAGGGGTAAGGAGCGAATAGGATAAAAGAAAAAAGTAATTAGTAGAAGTTAATACAGGTTAATTTAATGAAAGTGCAGTACAGTACATGTGGATATGAAATTACATAGTGAAATAATTTATATGCACTAATGAAAATTCTTGAAATTATAGATGCTTTCCCTCACTATACGAGGTGAAAAGGGAGAGAATGGATGAATGAAAAAGTAAAAGAAAATCATGACCAGTGTGGAGAGATTTAGTGAATTTTCTGGATTTCTGAGTAAACCTGAATAGAAGAGCACACAATGAAAATCTGCTAAGGGCTCCAGAACAGCAGGTAATAGGCTAGAAGCCAAATTTTCTTAATGTCTTATGTTAGTCGTACCTTTTCTTAAAACACTTATTTAGTCACCAGCAATTACTTAGCTTTTGCCTTATGGAACTGATTCAGATTACTTGCTTTAATTTTGCACTGATTTTTCTTAACACTCATGAATTGCCTCTAAGAATTCTGATTGACAAATGTTTCCCATTCTAACCTTATTTGACCTAGAATTACTAGTTAATTATTGCTTTTTTTAACCTTAATCCCATTTAGGCCAGGAACTCTAAGCCACTGGCATTATGACTCAGGAATCTAACCCTTTTCACAAAAACAATTTTTTTACTTGTCTGTAAGAAAATAGAGAAAGTAGAGATTTTGCAAAAGTGATATTGAGAGCACATGCCTTGATCCTAGCTACTCAGAAGACTGAGATCTGAGCATCATGGTTCAAACACAAGCCAGGCAGGAAAATCACCGAAATTCTAATCTCCAATTAAACATTCAAAAGCTGGAGGTGGGGCTTTGGCTTGAGTGGTAGAGTGCTAACCATGAGCAAACAAAGAAGAGAGAAAAATTTAGGGACAAATGTTCAGGCCTGAATTCAAGCCCTTGAATGAAAGGTGGATTCTAAACTTCCAAAGAAGATAGTTAATGAGTTTAATAAATAGTGCTTTGCCACATCGATTAATGATATATTTTCTGGTTCTATGAAGTAGGTAAAACAAATATCCGCCAAAAATGGGGCCCAAACAAAGTCACCACTGCAGTGCAGATTTGATGGAGGTAAACACTGAATAGAGCAGAATCTTTTCCATTGGAAGTGAAAAGTGAACAAAGCAAAGGAACAGGTATACATTTCCCTTGCTCCTAGGGTCCATTCACAAAATTACTCTTTAGTAATATTAGTTTAAGAACCATTTCCAAATCACACTGGCACCAAGTGTGGAACCTGGCTGCCTTCCCAACTCCTCACTATGGCATGTCTTCCTAAATGGAAAACTGAAACTTTGAGAAAAGCCATGGCATTGACAGACTTATTACATGAACCCTGTGCTTTTGGATACTGGAGTCAATACTGAAAGGTCTCTGAATTGATAATCTATGAATTGTTGCATAAAATATGGCACACAACAAAATGGACAATTTTTGCCAGATTAGCCATCACTAAAGTAACTAAAGTCATATTAAATGGCATAGGTACCTCAACTGATACTTCAGAAATGCTCCTAGAGGGATTATCAGAAACAACTTCTCAGCAATCAATAGGAAAATGTAAAACAACTAGATCTATTTCTGGACAGGTAACCTACTAAATTGGTTTGTAAGTGTGGGAAATATGGACAGACCAATAAGATATGGTAGAGATTCCAAGCAAAGAGAAGACTAGGACCAGCTAACTCCACTGCTGAATTGTGCCAAAGTTCTAAAGAATTAACCCTGTGTCTTCTCAAGCCATGACCATGCGGCATGTGTTGGAATATTTCCCCTTTCATCTTGATTTCTTCATTTGGGTCTCCATTCTTGTTTCCTCATCAGTCCAGATAATGGTCTCTGAAGAATTTTTTTTAATCAACTAACTTCTTCTTTTATCCCTTTAGCTTTAGATTTCAGCCTTTAACTTTTTTTTCTTTATGGTCATTGTTCTTTCTTGCTTCTATTAATTTGAGGTTTGCTTGGTGCATTCTTTTCTAGTTTCCAGATTGGCATTTGTAGTGTATTTTTTAAACTCCCTCTTCTTGTTCCTCCTTCATGTGAAGTTCCCTGCTATGTCTGTGTTTGCTCCACTCCACTTCATCTGAATCAAGAAAACGTTAATTTCACTTTGGGTTCCTTAATTGTGACATCCTTTGCTCAAGAAATTTTCTTTCATTTCTCTGTTATGGGTACTTTAAATTTTTCTGTTTTTAAATTTCTAATTTTATTCTGTGTGGTTAAGAAAATATATCTTATTGATAAATTTTTCATATTTGTTTTGTTTCTGCCAGTTAGCCAATTGGACCTTGGAAGCGGCTAGTTGCTTATTTGTCAAAGAAATTAGACCCTGTTGCTGCTGGATGGCCTCCGTGCCTAAGAATAACAGCTGCAGCAGCTCTCTTAGTAAAAGATGCTGATAAATTTCTCTGGGACAAAACCTAGAGGGGGTGCTAAGACAACCACCTGACTGGTGGATGAGCAAAGCCTGCATGGTCCATTACCAGACCTTGTTACTTAACCCCACATGGATCAGCTTTTGCGTACCCATAGCATTAAACCCAGCTACTCTGCTACCGGACCCTGCATGACTGTGAGCAAATCCTGGCCCAAGTATATAATCTCAGGCCAGACTTGTTGGACTCGCCACTATTGCTGCTGACCATACCTGGTTCATAGATGGCAGCAGTTTCATTCAAGATGGAAAAAGGTACACGGGCGCAGCAGTCACCACGGACATTGGGATAATGTGGGCAGAAGCACTCCGCCAGGGAACGGCTGCACAAAGAGCAGAGCTAGTGGCACTAACAAAAGTCCTACAGATGGGAAAAGGGAAGAGACTAAACATTTACACGGACAGTCAGGACAGTCAGTATGCTTTTGCCACTGTGCATGTCCATGGACCCATTTACCAAGAGAGGGGGCTGCTGACAGCTGAGGGAAAGACTATTAAAAACAAACAAGAAATTTTTAGCATCATATGGGCCATATGGGAACCAGCAAATATTGTCATTATGCACTGCCCTGGCCATCAAAAGGGAACAGATTCTATAACCAAAGGAAATAACTTGGCCGATAAGGCAGCTAAGGAGGCGGCCCTCCAGCCCTGAGCGGAAGTACTGACTCTAGTAGAACCAGGGCCACGAGCTTTGCCTCCTGAGCCTCAGTACTCCCAAGAAGACTTGGAGTGGATAAAGAAAATTTCCATGGCCTATACACCCCTGGATAGAGAAGAAAACAAAGAAAATTGTAAAGCCTGTCAGCTCACCAATGCCCCCAATCAACCGCTTATGAAAGGAGCTCACCTCCATGAAGATAGGCCAGGTGTGTATTGTGAAGTAGACTTCACAGAAATTAAAACTGGATATAAATATTTGCTAATTTTTGAAGACACCTTTTCAGGATGGGTTGAAGCCTACCCAACAAAGCATGAGACTGCGAACGTCGTGGCTAAGGAGATCCTGGAAGAAATCCAACCCAGGTATGCCTTCCATCCACCATCAGATCGGACAATGGACCAGCCTTCGTCTCAAAAGTAAGTCAGGGAATACCTTTGGCACTGGGGATGGATTGGAAATTGCACTGTGCTTATTGACCCCAGAGTTCAGGGCAGGTAGAAAGAATGAATTGAACTCTAAAAGAGACCTTAACTAAATTGGCCTTGGAGACTGGTGCAAACTGGGTATTGCTCCTTCCTTTTGCCTTGTTTAGAATAAGAAATTCACACTATTGCCTTGGCTTTAATTGCTTGCTGATTTGGATGATACTGAATTTCTGTGTAAGCTTGACTATTTACAGCTGGTGCATAAGAGTATGTGGCCCCAGCTTAGAGCATTATATGATTCTGCTTCTATTCCTACCCACCATTTGTTTAAACCAGGGGACTGGTGTTTGTTCGAAGGCACAACTTGAGATCTCTGGACCCACAGTGGAAGGGACCTTACATGGTGTTACTGGCTACACCACTGCCCTTAAGGTGGATGGCATTGCTGCTTGGATCCACTGCTCCCACGCCAGACCAGCTGACCCCTTAGCTCTGGACGACCATGGGGAAACATGGGAAGTCTCCAAGCATCCTACCCAACCACTCTGCATACGACTCAAGAAAAGAAAAATGGACTGATTGTTATTGGTATACCCATTCAAGATCAAGAGCTGTTGGAATTTAGTTTGGGGCCAGAGTGACAAGATTGTGACTCAGGACCATAAGCCAAGGGGGGGGGGGGGGGAATGAAAGGATAGAGTATTTGAGGCAGTGACCATTTGTTGCTTGTTTCAGAGCAGAGCAACATGTGGTGCTAAACCACCTGGTTGTGTGACTTTATAAGACCTGCAAATCCTTATCTCGGGCCTCTCCTCCTGGGCTCAGCTGTGTTGGAGTGTAAGAGGAGGCCTGAGCTGCAGCCCATTTAAATAAAATAGCTGTAGAGTCTGACTCTCGGTGGTCTTCTTGGTGGGGGTTCTGCAACCTTGGCATAACAGCCTAGCCTGTGGGTAAAGTGGGGAGTGAAGCTCAGCAGATTTCTGGTTAGCAGTGTTAGGGTTAGCAGGATTTCAGTTGTTTTCTAAGGCCTCTGGAGTTGGCACTACTCAGATTGAGGCTACCCAGGAAATGTGCAGGACCACTTGAGCTCTTGGGGAAGCTGCCTAGCAGCTTCGCTGGCCCCTTGAGGAGATTGTAAACGTGGCACCCTGCAACAAGACCTTTGGGAGGTGGTGAGGGGCAAGGGCACAAGGAGGGATGGACTTTTTCTCCATGGAATTGCATTTGTCTGCTAATTTAGTGTCCCAAATTAGGCTCATGACTTATGAGGACAGCAGGCTTCCTCAGCAGCAAATAGCAGGAGCAGGATTCTGAGTGGCAATTGCTGACCTTTCTCTGCTAGGGGAAGGGTCTTTTGGCTCATGTTCCATGTTGCAAGATGGGAAAGTGAAGAGTCTGTGTTCTTACTCCCTTATTTTATAAAGCCATAATTCAATCTTGAGTTCTACAATGTAGTGGCCTCTTCATGTCCTTCCTGTACATGTCACTCTGCTTCAAACTCCCAGAAAATCACTATGGTTTGTCTGTGCTTTATTCCTTTGTTGTGGAGTAAAACACCTTTATTCAGCCATCTTGCTTCTGTCTTGAGGATAGGGAATGTTTCCCTGGAAGATATCTACTTGGAGGCTGAAATCTGAGTATCATTGTTCAAGAACAGATAAGATGGGAGAGTCCATGAGACTCTTAGCTCCAATTAACCATTGAAAAGCCAAATAAAAGTAAAGGCTATTGGAAGGTAAGAAGTAGAATAAATGGGGATAAGGGGCTTATACAGTTAGAAAACTACAAAAAGAAAGCTATAAAATTATTGAAAATTACCTGGCAAGGTTTACAGTAACACATTTTATAGTACAATAAAATCACATAGTATGAACAAGAGGAATTGAGTGCTTGAGTCTTAAGTTGAGATATACTTAGCTAGAATAAATACTATGTTGTATGATAAGAGTACACATCATTCTTGTTATTAAAAATAGTTACTATGGGATTTTTCTTTTTTCTTTTTTTACTAGTCCTGGGGATTGAACTCAGGGCCTGGGCACTGTCCTTGAGCTTCTTTTGATCAAGGCTAGTGTTCAAGCACTTGAGCCACAGCACCACTTCTGGCTTTTCCTGCTTATGTGGTACTGAGGAATTGAACCCAGGGCTTCACACATGCTAGCAAGCACTCTACCACTAAGCACATTCCTAGCCCCGGAATTTTTCTTGTTTTCACATTTTCTGGAGAGTCTCAACAGGCCACCTATCTATAACTAGGCCACCCAGCTAACCTCTCTATGCAATTCCTGCTTGGAAAGGTGAAAGGTATTTTTTGTACATTCTCAAGTGATCATTTTTCCTTCACTGAATATTCATTTGGATAGTCATCTCTTGGATAGCCAAACAAACTTTTAAAGTGAAAGAGGAAATTACTTTCCTATATTTAATTCAGCATGATAACTAGGGCGCTGAAAGTCAGTGTCATTAGTTCACTAGAGTGTAAAGCTATCTTTCCATCTTTTGCAGTAAGATTGATAACTTCATACTTTACTAGGCCAACTCACTTATGTCTAGTTTCTTTAATACCTAAATACTGAGTATATGAAAACAAGAAAAGTACTCATAAGTTAAATAAAACTCAGTTATTTCATGCAGCAATTCTTAAACCTTATATTTGAAAGAGCATTTGAAATGGCAAATGGTCCAGGCAACAGTGGCTCATGTTTATATGCGAGCTTCTCAGGAGCTAAGATCTGAGGACTGCAAAGCCAGCCCAGACAGGAAAGTCCAGATACTCTTACCTCAATTGGTAACCATAAAAATGCTGTAAATGGAGTTGTGGCTCAAGTGGTAGAATATTAGCCTTGAGCAAAATAGCTCAGGCACAACATCTGGGGCCTGAGTTCAAACCCTAGGACTGATGAAACAGATAGATAGACAGACAGACAAAGAGCAAATAAGAAGAAAATAACAAACAGATCTAGAATCATGTATTCAGAATACACTCTACAAACAGAAGAAGAGAGAAATCAGTGGAGAACATTTCTTTGGCCCAATAGGAAATATTTCAGTTTAAATATCAAAATATCAAAAACAGAAAAATGATTTCACAGTAATATCCTTTATTAAAATTAGGGACAATGATTATTAAAAATAAAAATCATAATAATTCCAAAAGGAAATAAGAATGATTTGTTTGATTGAACTAAATTTAAAAATTAAACAAATATATACAATAAAAATATGTTGGAATGATTTATTGTAATATATTCTTTTTTTTTTGATCCAGTCATGGGGCCTGAACTCTGGACCTGAACGCTGTCTGTCAGCTCTTCAGCTCAAGACTAGCGCTCTACCACTTGAGCCACAGCACCACTTCCGGCTTTTTTCTTTTTTCTTATGTGGTGCTGAGGAATCAAACCCAGGGCCTCTCGCTTGCAAGGCAAGAACTCTACCACTGAGCCACCTTCCCAGACCCTTGTAATATATTCTTAAAGAAGAAAAACCTGATATCTACATATTATTTAGTGACAAATTGAGCCTCTCTACATGCACTTCCAAAGCCAAATTCAAATCTTCTAACTACTTTCTGCAAATCCATTAGTAATGTCCTCAAACTATATATTCTTGGGAATTCATAGATCATATAGCCCAATGTATAACTTTGCTTTATTTGAGATTTGTAATTATCAACTTCATATAGGGGTACAAAGGACTTGTCATTTAACAAAGCAGTTTATGGATATATTTTACCTAGATCAATGTCACCCCTTTCAAAATGCTCACCACTCACTCCCTACATACCCCTTCTTCCTAATTTTGCATACTCTTCCTAGTTTGGTATACAATGGATTCTTGACTGCATTTCTCCACCTCTTCTCTATCTGTTCAGTGCTTTTCCCTTGATCCCATCTCACCCTTTTGAGTACCAGTTTCTTAGTATTTTATTTTACTGATCTTTCACTTAGTCTTTCTAAAGAATTATACTATTTAAGTTCTCCCTTGAATCTACCATATTTCAGTTAACACATTTATTTACACTTGCATACTACCCAACATATTTCCTTATAAGCATATAAGCTAAAGCTAGCTTTGACTATATGGGAAAAGAAGCATCACTGGTTTCTGTGGGTCTGATTTAGGCCACTTAGCATATTTTTCCAGGTCTTTCCATTCAAAGAAAGTTTTTAATAGTTACTACAGTTAGAATAGTCAGACATTATATACAGAAGACACCTACCTTGAAGAGGAGAACTGGATACTGAATAGGATCAAGAAGCCCAATTGAGGGGTGACTCAGACCCCTCTGGCTAAGTTGGGGGTATACTTTGATTAGAGAAGTTCTCTCTCCACTAACCAATTATCACAGGAGTTGAAGCAGGTTTTGGGCCTATGGAATATGTGAAATACAAAACTGTCTCTCCCTTCTATGTGGCATGGAGAGGGAATCTAAAACCTTCACTGTTCAGGGTCCAAAAATCTCTGCTGCCTGCTGATGTATGTCAGGTACAAAGAAGGGACTAGCTAGGCATTATAGTGCAGCCACCAGCTGTGACAGTGCAGCATCCACAGATATTATCTAGCATGATACTGGACAGGAGACTAATAGCCAGTCTTCTGAATTTTCCATTTGGCTGGTTGCCACAAATGACAAATGTGTACAGGTAGTTGCTATATAATGAGGCCTTGCTTTGTGTGTAATCTCATGGAAACTAGAGAGCTGAGTCATTGGACACCCTCCATTGTGGAGACAAGCCATGGGGCAGGACCTTAAGGCTTTAGGGACAGTAGAATGTTATCACAGTGATATACATGATGTACATGCACCTCAACTAATCCAGTTAATGATGGTGTGGACATATTAACTAGAGAGGACTGTATCCACTGAAGAAGTCATTGATTGCACTATGAATAGCTCCATGCTTGATTAAAGACCAGGTAGCATACTATAAAAACCGAGGGCTTGCAATTACTTGAGAAATTTTCCAAGAGGCCTACCAGAAATATACTGTGTGTATGCTCCTATGACAATTTTTAAACATAATAGCCCAATACAATTAGGTCAAGAGGGCATTTCATCCCACTGGCATACTGTCAGGTAGATGACATTGCACTGAGAGCAAGCTAGGCTATCAGTATGCCTATCAGTAAACCAGGAAGCAATAATAATAGAACATGACCAGGGGACACACTTCACTGGGTGGAAAAATGAAAGATTTTACTAAGCAATTATAGAATTATGGAAATTACATTGCCCTATCACCCCCAAGACACAGAAATGATGCAACAGTATAATGGGTTGTTGCAACAGGGACTGTGAGATGCTGGATGTCCTCAAAAACTGTAGGGGTAGACAAAGAGACTGTGGCCAACGATTTCTACACTAAGTGAAAGAGAACAAAAGGGAAATATAACTCCTATGTGAAATGAAAATAACTAGCCCCAAAGACCACATGGACACAATCACATAGAGCAAAGGGGATTTATTGCCAGCAGAGCTGACAAGGCCAAATATCTCACAGGAGGGGGAGAAATGGTGCCCGTCTGTTTCCCAGGGGACCCATATACAGTCAAGAGACTAGAGGTGGGTGGTACTCTGCCTGGGCAGTGGGTCATTGCAGAAAGCCAGCAAGTAGGCTGAGAAAAGTTTATGTCTGGGGAGAGGGAGGAGTCCTGCTGATGTAGTAGTGGCTAGTGATATATGAGAGCCTAGGATGGACACTGCCAAGCCCCAAATGGCAGAGGATACACTAACATTGCCACCTTTGTTGCTCAATAGGTACAGCTACCAAATCTCAGGAGTATAGGCAGAAGTCATCTCTTCTAAAGCTACTTCCTGGTGAGAAGGGCATGGTAGTGAGCAGGGCACCAGGTACCATCCAAGAGGTATTTGCTTGGCATCATTATCGTGAGAACAGTTTTAGATATCTCAAATGCACAACACAATTAGACAAAGCAAAAAACTGTTGCCAGTGGACCCAAGAGAGGCATAAACCAGGGCATGATTGATCCCCCAAAACTGCTGCCAGTGGACCCAAGAGAGGCATAAACCAGGGCGTGATTGATTTCCTTTCAAAGAAACAGGGACACAGAGGAAGCGTTCTTGGTGGTGGTGTGAAATATCCATAAGGAATTCAGAGAGCTAAATGTATTTGTTCATTTGTTAACATGATCCTGATATAGCTTCTAGATGTTTAAAATATTTACACAATAAACCTTTTTCAAATTAAAGGCATTGAAATTTACAACCTTGGATTTACCTTACTCTTAGTTGCAAAACTGTCCTTTGATAAATAGAAATCATTGATTTGTGTACTTACTCTGAATCAGCCTCTTGTTTAAAGATCAAAGGTTAATATTTAGTATTTAAAATGTACCCTTGTTAAGCACGTTATTGGACAGCAATACCAAGTAAGCATGTGACAGTCCGTGAGTGTTCATGTGTGCTTCACAATACAAAGTATGAGCCTGAAATAGGTTCTTACTTTTTTCCTGTGCCAGCCTGAACTATGATGGCCTTCTCTATGGATTTCTAGGAGGTGGGATGACAGGTGAATATTTCCACATTCAGCTGTTGATGTTGTTTTGGAGCTTTGTGAACTTTTCTGCCCTTGTGAACTGTGATCTGAACTTTTCTGCTCCATGTGAACTATGAGATGATATTGTCTGTCTTTGAACCATGATCCTTGTCATAGCTATGACCCACATAGCTAAGATTTTACAGATGTGAACCACTAATGCTCATCCTCAAGATAGATTTTAATAGAATTTGCCTTATTTACTGATTTTTTCTCCACCTTTTTAAATATCTCCCAAAGTACATTAAATATATGTGGAAGTTATGAGTTATATTTTAAAGGTTGAAAAAATTTCTTAGTCGAAATGAGGAAATGGTCATATTCCTAGCCATCAAGGAACTGCAAAGCAAAAAATCTCAAAGATTTCACTTCTCCCCAGATAGATTGGCACAGATACAAAATGGAACTTGCATAGCCATTAGAAAGAATGATCTTACGTCATTGGCAGGGAAAAAGATGGGCCTACAACAAAATCTGTAAGTGATATAATGCAAGCTCAGAGACAACAACGGTTCATGGTTTCACTCCTTTAGGAAACCTAGATCTAAAATACACACTGAGCTATAGTAGGCATATAGTCCATATTGAGAGTCTTGATGTAGGGGGCTGTGTGCTCGATTTCTTCTTTGTAAGGCCATGATTTATCTTTGATTCTGTCATGTCTCTCTCACAAACGTAACCATTTTTCATTGTGGCAGACTGCCTGATATACTCTAGAGTAGTTGTTATTTTTAGATAGTTGGGTCTTTCACTTGGAGTAAAATATTCCACACACTGAGTCAGCCATGTTAATAACTTCCTAAGTGCTTTTTCACAATTCCTTATTAGAGTTCTTGAATGCTTAAAACCTCATACTGAATGTAGCTACAGGTTTCTGGAAATATACTAGAAAGGATTGATGGTGTGTATTTTAAACTGAATGGCATGAGTGTAAATAATATTTCAGCAGAGATGCTAAAATAATTTCTTGAATCATGACAGCTAAGAAATTTTGAGCAATTTTGAAGTTACCATATTTATTTCTTAATCAAAGACAATAAAAAGACGAGTCACCTCTCAACTTCACATGTTCTTTCAGAGATTGTAAAATGGCTTACATAAAAGGGTTGGCTTGCAAATACAGGTCATAAAAATTCCTAACTACATGAAAATACCTTATTTCAAAAGAGAGGTTGAACTTACTTGTCTAATCATTCCAAAATTGAAGATTGTTACCATTCTGTCAAATAGCTCTGACCATTTTACCTACTTGCTTTGATCAACTCAAGTTATATTTTAACTTCAAGATCAATTGTTTCCTTGAATATAAGCACAAGAAATTGACAGAGGTCAACATAGTTTGATGGACGCTGTGCTGTTAGTCAGGATGACTTGGAAATGGATTTCAGTTCTACTGCTACTGCAGTTGAGTTATTACTTTAACTCTGGAAGCTGTGGGAAAGTACTGGTGTGGCCTATGGAATATAGCCACTGGATGAATATGAAGGTAATACTGGACAAACTAATTGTGAAGGGTCATCAAGTCACAGTTGTGAGACCATCATCTGCTATTTTTGTTGACAGCAATGAAGCATCCAGCATTAAATTTGAAACTTTCCCTTCATCTTCTAATACTGATGAATTCTCCGCAGTATTCTCACAAATGATCTCTTTGGTGACATATGAATTGCCAAGAACAACATGTTTGGCATATTCACCATTATTGGAGAATGTATTTATGATGTATTCTGATGTTATGCTAAATATTTGTAAAGAAGCATCTCTGAACAAGGAACTGATAACTAGGCTACGAAAAGCAAGATTTGATGTTGTGATTGCAGATGGCATCGGTCCTTGTGGGGAGCTTCTGGCTGAGCTATTGGAGATTCCTTTTGTGTACACTCTCCGCTTCCTTCCTGGCTATACAACCGAAAAGTATAGTGGAGGGCTTCTATTCCCTCCCTCTTATGTGCCTGTCATTCTGTCAGGATTAAGTGGTCAGATGACATTCATGGAGAGGGTAGAAAACATGATATGCATGCTTTATTTTGATTTTTGGTTCGAGGCATTTGATTCAAAGAAGTGGAGTAGCTTTTACAGTGAAGTTTTAGGTAAGTCATGTTTCATTTTTATTAGGGTAAGATCTAACTTTTGTAAAAGCTGAGACAGGTGCTCTGAGATGAATGTGAAATAAGAGAAATTTGTCTTTTTTGTTGCTGTTGTTCATCATGGGACTTGAAATCTGGGCCCGGGCACAGTCCCTGAGCTCTTCAGCACAAGATGAGTGTTCTTGAACCACAGCATCACTTCTGGTTTTCTGGTGGTATAGTAGAGATATGAGTCTCATGGACTTTCCTTTCCGGGCTGGCTTTGAATCACGATACTCAGAACTCAGCCTCCTGAGTAGCTAGGATTACAGGCCTGAGCAACCTGCATCCTGCAAGAAATTTGTCTTCCATAGGTGAAAGAGTTAAATGAGATATAAAATTGTCTACCAGATTCCTGACTACAGAATGTCTTACATTATAGAGTCAGAAAGAAGACAATCGACAGTTACCTAGCTCTATAGGATGCTCTAGGAGGTCATTCAGTATGAAAAATTTCATCCACAATGAATAATTGATCATTTTTATTTGTTATCATGCTAATTAATTACTTCCCTAAGAGACTGATGAATGAAAATATGTATACCAAAGAGATACATTGTTTGATTCTACCTATGTATGCAGAAAATAAATTGTCTCCCTTGATTATTTTCCTAGTTAAATCAAAATATTTCATTTGTTTTCTCTTTCTTATGTTTTTTCTTTTTTTCTTTTTTTTTTTTTGTTTGTTTGTACCAAGGCTTGAAGTCTGTGACCTCAAGCTTGGTTGGATTACTTGTATAAGTTGGTACTTTACCACTTGAGCCATGCCACCCAGCATTTTGATACTGAATTGGAGGCGTAGTCTTGAGGATATTTCTGACCATGACAGCTTCAGACTTCATGCTTTCTGATCTCAGAATCTTAGGTAGCTGGGGCTACAGGGGTGAGTCACTGATGACCAGTTTTCAGGATTTTCTAAAAGTTTTCCTTATTCTTGACAGATCCAATGTTTTAGCACAGACTCAATAACTATAACTTCTAGTGGTTCCACATTCATTTATGGTTTATAATCATCTATTTTATAGACATAAAATCTAGTAAAGTGCTGAAGTACTTGTGATTATGCTCTATCACTTTAAATTGTTCTGCATTTAATAAAATATTAGCCATCAGTAAGATGAAGTCAATTACCTAGTCCCAGTATTCCAGATGGTATTTGCCAATGTTTCTGTGTAATAAATAAATATTTTAAGCTCCTAAAGTGAATCAAGTAGAGGTAAGAAATTCAGCCACAGTCATAAAGAATATACTCATATTGGAGCTCAAGAATCAAGGAACAGTTTGGTACACTGTAGGAAACTAGTTTGAGAACTACTGGGAAAACAATTTCTGTGAATATGACAGAATTATTGACTCTGGAATTCAAATATTCCTCTAATGGATAAAGGGAAAATGCATAGTTAATTCTATAATTGCCTATTTTAATGATTATTTATAACTGCTAATAAACTCAGGTATCAAGATATAGTCTCTTACCACACTGCCTTTCACACACAAAAACACACACCACTTTTCCTGTGTAGTACGTGTTACCAACAAACACATTCTATCTCATTAAGTACAAATTTAGAAAATTATTTTAAGAAAAAATAAAATGTTATATTCAGAAACTTCTCTGTAATGTCGTTTCTTACATTTTACTTTCTCCCCTCTCCATTCAGGACGACCCACTACCTTAATGGAGACCATGAGTAAAGCAGAAATCTGGCTTATTCGATCTTACTGGGACTTGGAATTCCCTCGCCCAACTTTACCAAATGTTGACTTTGTTGGAGGACTCCACTGCAAACCTGCAAAACCCTTGCCTAAGGTAAGTAGATAACCTTTTTGTCTGTGATTTGATTTCCTTTTCAATAAATATGGCTCTGCATCACTCAATCCAGGTCTTTGCTCACAGTGAAAGAGATATAGGAAGTGGGGTAAAGTATTGGACCAATTGAAACTTATTTTTGAACCATCACAAGTTTCTGCATTTCAAAAACCAAAGAATCATTCAGAACAAAGTCAGTTCAATTAAGACTTAATTTTTCAGCTAAGATATGGAACCAACCCAGATACCCCTCAGTAGATGAATGGATGAAGAAAATGTGGTATATATACACAATGGAATTCTATGCCTCCATCAGAAAGAATGACATTGCCCCATTTGTTAGGAAACGGAAAGGCTTGGAAAAAATTATATTAAGTGAAGTTAGCCAGGCCCAAAGAAACATAGGTCCCATGGTTTCCCTTATTTGCAGTATCTAGTATATGTATGAGTCAAGCAGAAAAGGTCAGATAAGGTGACTTTAGAGAAATGAACCATAAGATATGTATTCAAATGGTTTTTTTCTTTCATGAGATTGTTTCTACCACATTTATAAGATTATTTCTTTGTTGCTTTGTATATCCCTCCCCCTCAGTATAACCCCTGCTTTCACTATATTTCATATCGGTATAATTTGTGGAGGAGAAGGGCGAAAAAAATTGTTTAAATAGGGATACAGGTGGCCCCATTGCAACAATGAGATGTACAAGTCGTTATGTCGAAAACGAACTTTACAACTTTGGTGGGGGGGGTTGGGGAGGGTTTGGTAGGGGGATGGGGGGGAAGGAGGGTGGGAAAGGTTGGGAAGGGGAAACAAAGGAGGAGGCTACAATGCTTGATAAGAAATGTACTCATTATCTTGCCCATGTAATTGTAACCCCTCTGTACAGTATTTTCACAATAATTAAAAAGAAAAAAAAAGACTTAATTTTTCAGAATCTCAAAGGAATCCATGATTCACTCATAAAAGTGTCAAGTGATCTGCATGTAAAAAAGTGAACATTAACTATACAAGGAAACAGAATAAACATTTCTACCCCAACAGTCACACCTTTTTTTTACATTTAATAGGATGGTTTAGAATCCATTAATAAAAAATATGTAAAAGTATCTGGGAAAGGAAAGATATCAATAGTAAAATAACATATATGGGAATCAGAAAATTTCTCAGTCATTGGTATTAAAATGTTATATTAACAATGCTCTGAAATCAGTTGATTAATTAGAATTGAAATATACATAAAGGAAAGCAATTAGAACAGTAAGTTAGTTAACATGGAAAATGGTAGAGAAATAACTTGGAGTCCAGATGGAAATGTTTGGAAAATTTGTTGCACAATGACACCAATATACTAAGTATTATTACCTGTGCCTTTACTAGTGGCTACTGGAAAATGTTATGTCTTATGGATGTTACTCTTTTTATATATCTTAATCTGTTATTTTTTGATAATATTTTATTGTCTCTTAGTTTTTTGTTTATTTTTATTTTCTCCCCCATGTTTTATATTGACTTTTTTTGATGTTCCTAAGTAGGACTTGAACTCACCACCTGGGCATTGTCCCTGAGCTTTAGGGCTCAATCCTAGTGCTTTTACTACTTGAGGCATTGTTCTACTTCCAGCTATTGGGGGGTTAATTGGAGCTGAGAGTCTTACAGGCATTTCTGCCCAGGCTGGCTTTGAACCATAATCCTCATATCTCAGCCTCCTGACTACCTAGGATTCCAGGCAAGAGCCACCCATGCTTCGCTAGTTTTTATTGTGGTTTTTTCTTAACAAAAAGCAAATTTTTTTACTCTACATAGCACATTGTACAGCTTGGCAGGAGGCACACAGCCCTGTACAGAGGAAAGTATTTCAGATCAACTAGCAGAGTTAAAGCCTTTCTGCACTGTAGACTTTCTACACTCTGGGAAAAAAGCAAACAAACAAAACAATCCCTCTGGACACCCTGGGAAAACAACAACAACCACAAAAACTACCTTCTGGGAGGTGGATGAGACCCATAGGAATGCAAAGGGGACAACTGCCATCCTAGGGCCAGTGACAGCACAGGCCACGTGGTTTCAGCAGCGGAGGGAGAGCTCAGCTACAGAAAGTTATTTCATACTTGGTAAAAGAGAATAAAGTCCCAAACCAGGGGAAGTAAAGATAAGAAACATACACACACACAAAAAAACCAGCAAAACCAAACCATATCTACACAGCATTTACAACAAATAAATCTCTAGGTGGCTGGGGGTAAAATATGTATCTATGTATAGTCTATATGTAGATTAGAAAGCTATGAATATGGTTTATAAAGAGTCCTTTGATTAGAGGCTATTTAAGGCCCAAGCTTTAGGTTTGATACCTTTATGGGCTAATTCGCTTCCAAAAGAGGAAACCTCATGTTTCCATAGCTATCAAATGCACCCCTCTCATCCCTGAGAACATCGTCACAAATGTGCTCTTGGTCATACGAGGGACTGTGGAGAGCTCCATTAATAGAAAAGCAACTCAAAGCACGCCTCACACTTGCATTGTGCTCGAGCAACAGCCAGGTCACGAGGGCACAATTCCAGCAATAAATCAGCAAGGTGCTACTGCATCCCAGTGACTTTTCCTCTACTCTGAGCTCACATTTCACAGAGCTGTGGCTTACAACTTTCCCAATATGCAGCAATCAAAAAAATGTTTTATAGTAAAAGTGTGTATGTATGGGAGGAAACCAAAACGTTAGGGATGCTTTACCTGTCAGTGTCACACAAAAATCTCAAACCCTACTGCAGCACTGTGATGCATGGTTTTAATTCTAAGATTTAAAGGAAAAATCAAACATATGGGAAAAACAGAAAGGTCACTAGTCATGAGGTGAGAACCCTTGAGAAGAATCTCTAGGGCTCCAGCTAGGTGATCAGGTTTCAAATGGACAGGGCATGTAGTATGTACATCTGCTTCCCAGAGAGGGCAGGCTAGCAAACATGGAGAACTCTACACAAGCTTGGGTCCGGGTACTTCAGGAATGTACAAGTCAGATGCAAATGCTCCATCAGGTTGTCTGTTACAGAAAGCACAAAAGTGGGCAACAAAAGCAGCTTTTTATGTAGGTGTGGGTTTTTATGTGGGTGTGGGTTTTTATGTGGGTATGGGCTTTCTTAGGGGTCCAGGGAGGTTCAGAAAAGCCCCTTTCAAGCTGCAGTCTACATAGGCTGTCATGCTTGGCTAGTGTGATAAAAACAACACTTGAAATAATATTTGCTTCACTATTATTTGTGTGTGTGTGAGAGAGAGAGAGATAAAGAGAGATGGACAGACAGAGACAGAGACAGAGGGAGAAAGTGAGAGGGGAAAGGAGCAAGGGAGGAAGGGAGGGAGAGAAAAAATGAAGCAAATTTTTTCTTCACAGGAAATGGAAGACTTTGTGCAGAGCTCTGGGGACAATGGTGTGGTGGTGTTTTCCCTGGGGTCAATGGTCAGTAACATAACAGAGGAGACAGCCAATGAGATTGCATCAGCACTGGCGCAAGTTCCACAAAAGGTGAGACAGTGTACTTCAATAGTGGTCTTCACTGAATGGGTCTTAAACGCTGTAGGCTTCTGATTGCACTAGTTTTCTGTTGAAAGATACGCTGTTACAAGGACTCTAACTTATTTGAGCCAGTTTAAACAAAAATATACGCATGACAAATGCTCAAATAATATGGAATTTGGATTGTTTTAAATTGACAATAACAACAACATTAATTTTGTCACAAGAAAAAAGCCCAGAAGCCACAATGTGAAATTCTGTTATTATGATAATATTGAAACCATCAAATTTCATCTAGTCTTTGCAAGAATTCTAAGACCTCACAATACACTAAATATGTTTTAGAAACTGGTTAAAATACACTTAATAACTGACATTATGCAATTACATTTAGCATATAGCAGAAAAAAGTTTGAAATGTCTGATATGGCTTAGTCTTTTTTCCTCCAATTTTGAAACTGACCCATTAAGTATACACTTGAGGGGGTTATTCAGAGAAAGGAAAAGGAAGGTTCACCCCTCCTTCCAGGTATTTATTCAACCTTGTTCATTAAGAGAAAGTAAATAAAACCAATATGCTCTACTGGATTAGGCCTTGCTTCTATATGAAACCAGATCTGTGCATTTCATGTAAAAGTAGACATAGTCTACTTAAAAATAAATGTAGCCTCATTAAAATTTGGATTTTTTTTCAGCAGCCATGTGACTTATGAACCACATGCTAGCTCCATTTCCTATATTTAAAGATTTTCCTCTATTAATGATAGTAAGTTTAGATGTCAGTATCCTATACTTGTGATCAAATTCAGATTGCATTTTTTCCTAGACATCACCACTAATAATTTGTCATCTAAAACTAGTTCCATGTAATTACTGAGAAGAATTAATTGATTTATAATAAAATCTGAGGAATCTGTCATTAGCAAAGGTTGAACAAAAATAACATTTGTTCATGTGCTGGTCATGAGGCAGTAGGTGCAGCCTTAACATGCAGTACAACAGTGTGAGTTGTGATGCGGGTGTGCCATGGAAAGGCCTAGTCAGCCACCACATGATTGCTTCTAAGGACCATTTGTCTGTCTGTCCAGATCAATGTGACCAGGTTGACAACCAGCATCTAGGGGAAGTTAAATGGCCAGTTTAAAAGCTAGAGTTTCATGAGGCCTTCATAGTATGAATATTATGTTAGTATCATGTACTCACTCCATAATGCTGAACATTATGTAACATAACATCACTTACTACAATACTCAGTATTCTGAGGACAGAATACTGAATAGTTTGATGCTGTTTCTGGTCAAACAGGACAACATGTTTTCACAGAGCTTCTCTCCAGGGAGAAGGGTACACGTAAAATATTTGTTATAGTTGGGCGCCAGTGGCTCACGCCTGTAATCCTAGATACTCAGGAGGCTGAGATCTGAGGATAGTGGTTCAAAGCCAGCTAGGGCAGGAAAGTCCATGAAACTCTTATCTCCAATGAAACACCAGAAAACCGGAAGTGGCATTGTAGCTCAACTGGTAGAGCACTAGCCTTGAGCTGAAGAGCTGAGGGACAGCATTCAGGCCCAGAGTTCAAGCACCACCAACGCTTAAAAAAAAAGAAAAAATTGTTATAAATAGACACTTAAGAAGCAAATGAAATATGTTAAACTAAAATGAAATCTCATAGAATAAGAGAGTACTTATAAATGTTAATAGATAAAATTGGAAGAAATGAGCTACTTTAGTAAATATTTATGTGTAAAGATGTAAATCTTAATCATTTTATGTGCTATTGTGCACCAGATCTATGATTATAACTACATAAAAATTGTTTAAAAGGTTCATTTGTCATTCATCATATAATTTCTCTGTTTTGTGAATAATTATGATGATATTACATAATATTGAATAGGAAAATGAGTATAGGAAATGTTGGTAGCCTTTTTCTCTAAGCCTTGTAATAGTCCTCATTAATTAACCCTACCTGTTCTCTTTATCCATTCTATGAAAGGCATTTAATTGTGTGATCTCTAAAGTATAAAACATCACATTTTAACAGTTAAAAAGATAGTGTCTTTATTTGGCAGATTCTTTGGAGATTTAGTGGCAAAAAACCAGACACCTTAGGACCAAATACTCGGCTGTACAAGTGGCTTCCCCAGAATGACCTCCTCGGTAAGACTCTGAAAAACACATCCTAAAAGCATGAGCAATTGTCGAAGTAATTGATAAAAACACAACAGTTGTTAGCTGATGGGAATAGTAAAAATTCATAAACAAAAGCCAACTTTTAGATTTAAACCCATTCAAAGGAAAATAAGCCTTAACAGATGAAATTTTATCATACTCCATCATATACTTTTTTTTATCAGTTTACTCTTTATTTTCAAATATATTTACCAAGGACAAAGAACTTTCTGTAATCCGCTGAGGTTTCCTCTCTCTCCCCTAGTTCAATCATTATTTTATCCATCCTCCTAAAGTAGGGCAAGTTTTTGCGATGCCACTGAAACATTCACAGTGGTCTTATTATGACTGAGTTTGCATGTTATGTGGGAAAAATTCATGTTGCTTAATATGAAGTCATGATACACTCTATTTCAAGCTTTGCTCCTTCATTAGATTAATGCACTATTTTTAGGTTTATAAAAGCATGATCTAACAGGACCATTTTCTTTTATTACATTTTTTTTATTGTAAAAACACTGTCCAGAGGGGTTACAGTTACATGACCAAAGTAATGAGTACATTTCCTATGAAGAATTGTTACATCTTCCCTTGTTTTTCCCATACCATCCCTTGCATCCCACCTCCACAACTATACTCTCTCTCTCTCACCACCCCCCCAGGCCTGGCCTAAATTGTAAAGTTCGTTTCTCAACATAATATCTTGTACATCCCATTGTTACAATGGGATATAACCATATTCTTGCTTCAGAATTTGCTCTCTATTATACATTATGTGTATTCTATCTGTTCAATAGGAAATGGTATATTGCTTTTCACATCTCAAGTCATATAAAACCTAAGGCACCGATCATAAGATTTTTCACTTACCTCTCAAGTGGATTAGGTGGTCCTAATGGGTGAGACATAAAGGCAATGTAAATGTAACTTCATTGGTTCAATAATTGTTATTTGGGAAAAACTGTATCTTTCACATGCTCACGTTATACATTTCTCACTTCATGTCTAAGACTTTTAATGAACAATTATATTGAAATGCCCCTAATCCTAGGCCATCCCAAAACAAAAGCTTTCATCACTCATGGTGGAGCTAACGGCATCTATGAGGCGATCCATCATGGGATTCCCATGGTGGGCATTCCTTTGTTTGGGGAACAACATGATAACATTGCTCACATGGTGGCCAAAGGAGCAGCTGTTCAACTGGATATAAGAGCAATATCAAGGAAAGACTTGCTCAGAGCACTGGAAGAAGTCCTTAACAACCCTGTGTGAGTATGATCTTGTGTGTGTATGTGTGTGTGTGTGTCTGTGTGTCTGTGTCTGTGTCTGTGTGTCTGTGTGTGTCTGTGTCTCTGTGTCTGTGTCAGTGTCTGTGTTGCAACCTTTTTATGCTATACAGGCCAGGAGTGCCTCAAACTTGTGGTCATTATCCTTCAACATTTGGAATGCTGAGATTCCACAAATCCACTTTCATTTCCAACCAAAACTTGTTTTGTTCCCCCAGTGATTTCAGTGCAAAGGAATTATCATAACCTTGAGAATAGTACAAAGTTCTAAAAAGGCAAAGGGGACTGAAAGGAATCACTAAGAATGACAATAGATGATTACAAGGAAGCTTAGGAAAGCAATGAATCAGAGGCATATGAACATTTCCACAAATAACACTAACTAACCCATTCAGTTATAACTTTCTTTCCACCTAAGATCTCACTAGTAACTATTTATAACATAAAAATTCAGTGTGTTTGAAAAATAGAGTATGACGTTTAGGTGGTTGAAATTTTACTCTTGTGAACCACATGAAAATATCTGTCATTTCAGTTTCTAATTTTTGTTGTTTCTTCAAAACAGTCTAAATGGTTTGTATTACTAAACAGCAAGACAATAATCAAATATCACATTCCTAGTATAAATGCTTCCTCAAATATCTATGTTAATGCTTAGATTCTATCACTGTTAACTAACTACAGCTTTTAAATTACCTGATTCATCCTGGTAGGAAAATAGAACATTTTTTTGAAATATATGCATATTCTTAGATAACAAGGGACTATGATTATCTTATTCAGAACAAAAATAAAATAAAAAAGAAATTACCTTCAGAAATACAAGTGAAATGTAACTGCATGATATCTAAAATATCTGGAGCAAGAATGACTTGTTATTGAAATTATTTCAATAAATAGATTAATATCATTTATACTATTATTAATTTCCTCTTATACTCAGTAATACTCTGTATATAATTCTTCCCTTTCACCATAACTGTAAAAATAATGTAGAGTATTTTACTTTTATTGGATATAATAGTATAGCAGACACGTTGTAAAGGCTGTGTTAATTTGATCTTTTTTTTTTGGGAGGGGTAGGTGGGTTTGAACTCAGACCTTAATACTGAGATGTTTAGCTTTCTAAAGGGCATTCTAGGGCTGGGAAGATGGTTCAGTGGTACAGTGCTTGCCTTGCATGCATGAGGCCCTGGGTTCAATTCCTCAGCACCACATAAGCAGAAAAAGCTGAGAGTGGCTCTGTGGCTCAAGTGGTAGAGCACTAGCCTTGAGCTGAAGAGCTGAGGGATAGGATCCAGGCCCAGAGTTCAGGCCCAAAGCTGAACAAAAAAAAAGGGGGGGGGGATTCAAAGACTTAAGCTATAACTCTGACTTCATTCTTTGCTGGTTATTTGAATGTAAAGTCTAGAGACTTTTCTGCCATTCCCAGTTTTGAGCTGTGACTGTCAGGACCTCAGCCTCCTGGGGTAGACATGTTTACAGGCAGGAGCCATCAGCATCTAGCTATGACTTCCATTTTCCTACAGATATTGAGCACCATAACATATTGTTTGTGAGCCATATTTTATCTTCCTTTGTTTTGAAAGGCAGGATATTTTTGTATTTTTATTTGCTATACAAATACATCTCTCACATATTGTTCTTATTAAATTTTGAACAGATACAATATTGATACTGAGAGATACAGGAGATTTCTTAACTGATAGTACATGCTAAAACTTAGCATTAATACACATTTCACTCATTTTTTGATGCATTTCCTTTTCTTTTTTGCCTGCTGTATTACAAAAAGGATCACCACTAGTCCTGTCTGAAGCTCACACTTATCAGTGAGTTTTTTTTTTAAATAATAGGGATACAAGTCACTTTACTTGCCATTGCAATACTCTCCTTCTATAACACCTTGGAATTTACCCTTAATAATCATTCTCAACACATGCTCATTTTCACCTTACATACTAGAAAGAATCTTTTCAACACAAATCCCATGTACCTATAATGCCTCAAAGAAACTAGAGCACCCTCTTATTTGGTCTAACATCATAATACTAACAAGAAAAATAACAGCAATGTTAGCAAATGTCTTTGATTGTCTATCTGAAAAGATGAATAATTAAAATCATTCTAAATATGAGTACATTTATTTCTCATAATTCAAGAAGAACTCAATTACTTCTATTTTTCGATTTCCTATCTTTTCGTTGTATAACAACAAATAAAAACTGATACCTTTTAATAGAGCTTCATAAAAGGAAAAGGCAAGTCATAGAGTAATAGTGGAACAAGTAAGTGAAAGGGTCAAGAAATAAAAGGAAGGCAAGTTGATAGCCAATGGCTGATGCCTGTGATTCTAGCTATGATTCCAGAGGTGAGATATGAGAATTGTGGTTTGACATCAAGCCAGGCAGAAAAGTCCCTCAGACTCTGATCTCAACTTAACATTCAAAGAGCCAGAACTGGATCTGAGGCTCAAGTGGTAGAGTTCTTCCCCTGGGCAAAGAAAGCTTAAGGAGAGTGTGAAGCCTTAAGACCAGAACAAAAAAAGGAGGCAGGGAATTTTGTAGTTAAATAATAATTAAGCACCAATAAATGATAAAGAGAGCCTTCAGGGGAAAAAAACTTCTTGATTAAATAATCTATCAATCTCTAAATTATGATACAATTCTAAACTGTGAACAACACGTGCATTAATAATTAATCTTTTATATTGTTGTGGATTTCTTCGATAATTCTACTTTTGTTTCTTGTGTTAACAATATTTTTTTATTGTGAAAATACCATACAGAAGTTACAATTACATGGGAATGATAATGAGTACATTTCTTATCAAGCCTTGTTGCCTCCTCCTTTGTTTCATATTTCTATCCCTTCCCATGCCAAACCCCCTCCCCGTATCCCACCCCTTGCCAGCTTTTAACAAGATTTTTCTAAATGGTTAAATCCAGGGTCACTAAGAAGCTCTTCCCTTTTACCCTAACATGACTAAAAGTGCAGCAGAAGAAAAACATTCTCTTTTCTCCCAAAAAATTTTTAGAATCATTTGCAGAACATTTCAATATCTGTATTTTCTAGTTCATTTGATATACTTACATCAATTTGATTTACCTTTAGCTACAAAAAGAATGCTATGTGGTTGTCAACCATTCACCATGATCAGCCTATGAAGCCCCTGGATCGAGCTGTCTTCTGGATTGAATATGTCATGCGCCACAAAGGAGCCAAGCATCTGAGGCCACTTTCCCACAACCTCGCCTGGTACCAGTACCACTCTCTGGATGTCATTGGATTCTTACTGACCTGTGTGGCCACTGTTGCTTTCCTTGTCTTAAAATGTTGCTTGCTTGTTTACCAAAAGGTTTTTAAGATGGGCAAGAAGAGAAAGAGGGAGTAGAGCTTTCAACAACTCAGGGAATGGACTAAAAGCCTGCTAAGGAAGAACATCCTAGTGATTTTTAGCACAATCAAGCTGGGAGGGATTCTCTTCCACATTTTACTTAAACCTATGCCTTTTGTATTTTCAAATGGATCTTACTCTTGATTAAAAATGAAGCAATGTACAATTCTAATGTCAGAGTTTCTCAAAAAGTTCTATGTCACTGATTTATGTAGATATTATAACTGAATCAACTGAGAACTATGGAAATTTGAGTCTGTTTGTTTGAGAGAAGCATACAATCCAGTTTTATGGACATTTTCAGAAAAGGAATATTTTAATAAAACAAAATTAAATGAACTCATTGTGTGTCTGTCCAAAGAAAAAGAGAGAGAGATAAGGTAAAAGAGGTAACATTTTATTCAGACTACTGACATATGGGAGGGAGTTGACAATAACTGAAGTAAACTTGTGCTAACTCAAAGCTAACTAAGATTTTCATAAACATAAAGAGTGAGTGAGAGGAAGTGAAGAAAGGAGACTTAAATGGGACTACAATCTATGTGGAGATAACCAACTACAAAAGAAGTGAAAATTTACTGGAAAAGGCCTGCTTTGGGTAGAAAAGTTAGAAGGTGTGCATTATACATGGTCACTGAGACATGATAATTGCTTTTGACCTATGGACAGATTTTATGAATGTAATGAATATAAGAAAATTAGATATCATTGAGACCATGGTGGCTCATGCCTGTAATCCCAGCAACACAAGAGGCTGAGATCTGAGGATCACAGTTCAAAGACAGCCTAGGAAGGAAAGTCTAGGAGAGTGTTAACTCTATTAACCACCAAAAACCAAAAATGGAACTGTGGTTAAAGTGAGTAGTAAACTTCAGCAAAAAATAATCCAGACGATGAGTCGCTGAATTCAAGGCCCATTACTGACATGAATAAATAAATAAACAACATAATAAATAAGCAAATAAATAAACAAACAAATAAATAAGGGATCTAATGGACATTGTGGTGCTGGCTTGATTGGAGTAAAGGCAAAACTGTATATGTTCAAGCAAACACGAGACTCATTTTTATTCAACTGCTATATAATAGGAGGCATTAATAAAACTAATTATGAAATTAACATTACAAAAGGAAATAGGAAATGACATCTACCCTTTATTACCATTGAAATGTATAATCAGTCTATATTTTAAACATAGGATACTAACAAATGTATAAAAAACAAAATAATATATCTGTGCTCTTTATTATCTTAAGTATTTAACAGAAGAAAACTTTGCAGTTACTTTTTCTGCATTAATAATGAAGCTCTATATACATTATTCAAAGCAACTTCTAGTCTATTTTAATTTCTTTCTCAAATTATTATATACAATAAGATTGCCTATTAACATTAGATATACAAAGGAATATTACTCTACCATAAGGAAAAATTGAGCATGAAGTTTAGGTGGTTTAAATTTTACTCTTGTGAATCACATGAAAATATCTATCATTTCAGTTTCTAGTTTTTGTTGTTTCTTCCAAAAATTCTAAATGGTTTGTATTGTTAAACAGCAAGACAATAATCAAATTTCACATTCCTAGTATAAATGCTTCCTCAAATATCTATGTTAATGGTAAGATTCTATCAGTATTAACTAACAACAGCTTTTAAATTACCTGATTCATCCTGGTAGAAAAAGAGAACATTTTTTGAAATATATGCATACTCTTAGATATCAAGGGACTATGATTATCTTATTCAAGACAATCATAAAATAAAAAAGAAATTACCTTCAGAAGTACAAGTGAAACGTAACTGCATGATATTTAAAATATCTGGAGCAAGAATGACTTGTTATTCAAATTATTTCAATAAATAGATTAATTTCATTTATACTATTATCATTTTCCTCTTATACTCAGTAATACTCTGTATATAATTCTGCCTTTTCACCATAACTGTAAAAATAATGTAGTGTATTTTAATTGTATTGGATATAATAGTATAGCAGACACATTGTAAAAGCTGTGTTACTTTGATCTTTTTGAGGGGTACTGGGTCTGAACTCAGAGCTTAATATTCAGATGTTAAGTTTCTAAAGGGCATTCTATGACTTAAGCTATGACTGACTTTATTCTTTGCTGGTTATCTGAAGGTAAAGTCTAGAGACTTTTTCTACCATTTCCAGTTTTGAGCTGTGACTGTCAGGACCTAGCCTCCTGGGGTAGACAAGTTTACAGTCAGGAGTCATCAGCATCTAGCTCTGACTTCCATTTTTCTAGAGATATTGGGCAATATAACATATAGCTTGTGAGCCATATTTTATCTTCCTTTGTTTTGAAAGGCAGGGTATTTTTATATTTTGATTTGCTATACAAATACATCTCTCACATATTGTTCTTATTAAATTTTGAACAGATACAATGTTGATACTGAGAGATGTAGGAGATTTCTTAACTAGATAGTACATGCTAAATCTTAGGACTAACACACATTTCACTCCTTTTTTGATGCATTTTCTTTTCTTTTTTGCCTGCTGTATTACAAAAAGGATCACCACTAGTCCTGGCTGAAGCTCACACATATCAGTGAGTTCTTTTAAAATAGTAGGGATACAAGTCACTTTACTTTTCATTGCAATACTCTCCTTCTATAATACCTTGGAATTTACCCTTAATAATCATTCTCTATGCATGTCCATTTTCAACTTACATACTGGAAAGAATCCTTTCAATACAAATCCCATGTACCTATAATGCCTCAAACAAACTAGAGCACCCTCTTATTGGGTCTAACATAACACTAACAATAAAAATCACAGCAATGTTAGCAAATGTCTTTGAGAGTCTATCTGAAAAGATGAATATTAAAATCATTCTAAATATGAGTACATTACTTCTCATAGTTCAAGAATAACTGAATTATTTCTATGTTTCCATTTCCTATCTTTTCATTGTATAACAGCAAACAAATAAAAACTGAGACCTTTCAAAAGAGCTTCATAAAAGGAAAAGGCAAGTCATAGAGTAATAGTGGAACAAGTAAGTGAAAAGGTCAAGAAATAAAAGAAAAGCTAGTTGACAGCCAAAGGCTGATGCCTGTGATTCTAGCTACTCCAGAGGCTGAGATCTGAGAATTGTGGTTTGAGATCATGCCAGGCAGAACAGTCCCTAACACTCTTATCTCAACGGAACATGCAAGGAGCCAGAACTGGATCTGTGGCTCAAGTGGTAGAGTTCTTCCCCTAAGCAAAGAAAGCTCAAGGAGAGTGTGAAGCCCTAAGACCAGAACAAAACAAAGGAGGCAGGGAACTTTTGTAGTTAAATAATAATTAAGCACCAATAAACAATAAAGAGAGCCTTCAGGGGAAAAATTTCTTGATTAAATTACCTATCTCTAAATTATGATACAATTCTAACCTTTGAACAACATGCATTAATAATTAAGCTTTCATATTGCTGCTGATTTTTTCAATGATTCTACTTTTGCCTTCAGAAATTCTTGTGTTAACAAGATTTTTCTAAATGGTTAAATCCAGGGTCACTAAGAAGCTCTTGCCTTTAACACTAACATGTCTAAAAATACAGCAGAAGAAAATATTCTCTTTTCTCTCAAAATATTTTTAGAATCATTTGCAGAAAATTTCAATATCTATATTTTCTAGTTCATTTGATATACTTACATCAATTGGATTTGCCTTTAGCTATAAAAAGAATGTGGCTGTCAACCATTCACCATGATCAGCCTATGAAGCCACTGGATCGAGCTGACTTCTGGATTGAATTTGTCATGCGCCACAAAGGAGTCAAGCATCTGAGGCCACTTTCCCACAACCTGACCTGGTACAAACACCACTCTCTGGATGTCATTGAATTCTTACTGGCCTGTGTGGCCACTGTTACTTTCCTTGTCTTAAAATGTTGCTTGCTTGTTTACCAAAAGGTTTTTAAGATGGGCCAGAAGAAAAAGAGGGAGTAGAACTTTCAACAACTCAGGGAATGGACTAAAAGCCTGCTAAGGAAGAACATCCTAGTGATTTTTAGCACAATCAAGCTGAGAGAGATTCTCCTCCGCACTTTACCTAAACCTATGCCTTTTGTATTTTCAAATGAATCTTACTCTTGACTAAAAATGAAGCAATGTACAATTCTTATGTCAGAGTTTCTCAAAAAGTTCTATGTCACTGATTTATGAAGATATTATAACTGAATCAACTGGGATCTATGGAAAATTGAGTCTGTTAGTTTGAGAGGAGCATAAAATCCAAAGTTTTATGGGCATTTTCAGAAAAAGAATATGTTAATAAGACAAAATGAAATGTACTCTTTGTATGTCGGTCCAAAGAAAAAGAGAGAGATAGGTTAAAAGAGGTAACATTTCATTCAGACTACTGACATATGGGAGAGAGTTGGCAATAACTGCTCCTAAATCAAAGCTAGCTAAGATTTTCATGAACATTAAGAGTGAGTGAGAGGAAGTTAAGAATGGAGGATTAAAGAGGACTACAATCTATGTGAAGATAGCCAACTACAAAAGAAGTGGAAAAATTACTGGAAAAGGCCTGCTTTGGGTAGAAAAGTTAGAAGATGTGTATATATATGGTCAGTGAAACATGATTATTGCTTTTGACATATGGATACATTTTATGAATGTAATGAATATAAGAAAATTAGATATCATTGAGACCATGGTGGCTCATGCCTGTAATCCCAGCAACACAAGAGACTGAGATCCGAGGATCACAGTTCAAAGCCAACCTAGGACAGGAAGTCTAGGAGAGTTTTAACTCTATTAACCACCAAAAACCAAAAATGGAACTCTGGTTATAGTGAGTAGTAAACTTGAGCAAAAACAATCCAGACCATGAGTCGCTGAGTTCAAGGCCCATTACTGACATAAATAAATAAATATATAAATAAATAATCAAATAAATAAATAAGGCATCTGATGTGCATTGTGTTGAACATGTGTAATCCCTGTTCTTTGGGAAATGGAGACAGTATGGTGATGGCTTGAATCGAGTAAAGGTAAAACTCTATATGCTCAAGCAAACATGAGACTCTCATTTTTATTCCTACTTCTATAAAATAAGGGAAATGAAATTACATAGTGAGAGGGTTACGGGAAGATGGCGGAGGAGAAGCTGGAGGCTAAACAAGCTATTGCATACAAAGCAG